AATCTTGTTTTCTTCTGCCCAATAATGCATAATTTCATTTGATAAACACGTTTAGATTGAATGGTAATTTATAATCAGTCACAAGAACGTCGAATCTGAATCACTTGAAAAAAACAAGGGGGTGCTTAACTTTTTTCCAGGTGTATATATTAAAAAAATGAAACAGAGAGTGACCTTGTAAACGAATTTTAAATAACTATTTGTTTGTGATTATGGAATTATTATAAAATCCCTAGAAGTTGGAAAATAGCATATACCTGATTGAAAAAACAATTTTAATGAAGCTTAAAAATTCTCTTATATGTTAATTTATTTTCTTCACCAGAACGAGAATTTCAGCGAAGAAAATATGTCGCAGAGGAATAATCTATTCTTTGATTCGTTACTTTTGCTGCATCAGACTAGTTACGCCGAATTCACGGCTCATCAGTGCTATTTGGAAGAGTGAAGTAAATAAACAAAATAGCTTAAAAATCATTCGCACACAAATTATATAAATATGAAATAAATTCATAAAATCGAACCGTAATAAGTTAGACATTACTCTTAAATACGAAAAGCTATGTTGATCACTTCAAGACTAGAATAGATGTTTTATTTAAATTTGATATTATAAACGTCTTCACAGTTTCTGAGAAAAATTGTCCAAGATAAACTGAACTAATCCCTTCTTGAATTTCTTCTGTATATTGTTCTAAGCCTTTCCTTCATATTCACCGGAAACTCTTCTGGTACATAAAGTGTCTTCCTCAATGTTTTATCTCACTTACTGTCATAACCTGCTTTAATAGAGTATATTTATACTGTTCTACAGTGGCTTAGAAGTGTTGTTTGACATAACACTTTCTTCACAAGTGTTCTTGAGATTCGCTAGTTTTCGTATTTTCTTGTTCAAATTATTCTTAACAAATTATACTAGTATCATAAGAATTGTACTTAGGTACGCATAAAGTATTACTGTACAGGATAATGTTTCATTTAGCTTACCTGTAGCTCAATGGAAGACTAATTTATTTTATATCACCGTGTTTTAATTTTATCTTCTTTGCGTTTCTTTGAACGGATGATAGAATTTTTTTTTACGTGTTCATTGAATAAATAGCAGATAAATACCAAACAATGTCCCTTATGGTCATTTTTGAAAGCTAGGTAATCGTAGTACACAAAAAAATTGATATTTCAGTACAACATTTAAAAACAATTTCAGTATCTATGAGTAGTTTGAAAACAATCTCTTAAAAGTTTCACCCAAGTTAAGTTTCTGATTTCAATTTAACTGCAAAAATTAAAGAGTAATGGCATCATTAGGTTTACTCTTATTTTTAGCCGCGGCATAACGGCTCATAAAATGGCTCTGGGTTTTTCAAGTACAAACTTTTAGCTCCTAGCTCCGTCATCTCTTAACCGATACGAGATCTAATTCACTTTTAGACTCAGGCGGTCAAACCCTTTCGATTGTTGTATTTGACCACACCGAAGGTCTAATAGATTGACCTGCTCTAGTCTTGCCTAAAATAATTTATTTTATTTTTTTATTTTCCAGAATTTCTCCTTTTAATAATGCGTACACAAATAAATACAGGGATCTGGGAGAATTACTGTACGTAAACATCTGTGTGTTATCAGTATTCTTGTTTCATCTCAAGAATACATAGATTTTCAGAATCGTATTAACCAGGACTGGAGATCGAACCTCAATTAAAACTTTCGACCGGGCTATATGATGATACTATCACTAATAATAAATGTATTATTTTAGCGGTTGCAGTTGGTCTGGAAATAACTGGAGTTTCCATACCCCAAGAACTGGAAAATGGAACAAAAGAGTCAATTGTCTTAGACTGTGAGTACAATTACGCAAATGAGGACAAAAACATAGTTGTCAAGTGGTTTCTGAATGATGATCCGGAGCCAATTTACCAGTGGATCACAGAACTGAACCTCCGCCAACCCTCTTACCGGCTTCAGGGTCGAATCAACATGAGTTATACAGTTACTCCGTCCACCAACCTGACCAGGTACCGTGCACTCAATATCCTGCGACCAACAACGGATCTGAGTGGCAAATACACGTGTAATGTTGCCTCATTAGCTGGCGAAGACTCGGAGGAACGGCAGATGACAATTTATGGTGAGCTCATTAGATAATCCAAGTATTTTCTGTCCTAATTACATCTGCACAGAATTTGGTTCAGTTGCGTTAAAATTACATTTCAAAACAACTGGTTTCGAAAGAGATCTTACTATGCAAGCTGGTAGAGACATCACAATTTATTGATAATAAAGTAATATATAACACTTTCAAAACAGTATATCACCATCATGTATGTTTGAAATAAAAAAGAGTGATATCAGTATATCTTAAAATAATTAATAAAATTAGAGAAATTTAATAGGAAGAACAATAGACACATTATGGAAATAAATAATTATAAAAATCTTCTATCTCTACCTTACATTGGAGTCAAATAAATAGGGGATTCGTCTTAATATGATGTAGTGAAGCAGATTTTGTAATTTGTTTCATCTCAGTTTTCTTGCTTTTCAACATATTTTAATAATGTTATTTTTTATTTGTTGTTGACTGTTCTTTTATGAACAGCTGAGCTTATTAAAATTATCTTATATATTATTTATATTACACTGATCATAATGGTAAAGTACATCCTCTGACATGTGAAAATTAGAATGTGTAAAAAAATTATTACATAGCATTTATTCATAAAATGGAAAAGCTAATTTTCTAGGAAGATTATAACTGTTTGAAAAAAATATCAATACACAGTTTACGTAATAAGTTATCAGCAGGTTCAAATGAAAATATTGCACAGTTCTCTACGGATAGAGCTTTCGAGTATAGAGATTAGTGTATCAGTGTTCTTCGGTTTCATATATTTAGTTTTTTTATTTACACGCAAATAAATCGATATGTCAAATGGCACCAGCTGGTGATTCCACAAGATCTGTTCTTACAAATGCAATGCTAACATTTTAAATGAAGTATAGTATCAATAGAAATCAATCAAAAAACGGTGAAAGGAATAACTGTGTTAATCTATAAATATTCAATAATTAATACGAAATATTGTACTAAGATCTCCTACAACTTTACGGATTTCATAAAAAGTTCTGTGTGATTTTTAAAGCGGCATTTCGACGTAACGGGCGAACATAAGATATAAAAAGAAGGGAAGATTAAATGCTTATTAGCTATTACTGGGGTTGCCACATTAAATAAGGATTACTGATTATGCCTAAAAATGACAGACATATATGTGACACGTGACAAATTGAAAGTAGTACGTTTAAGCATTAATATGAATGTAGCACCATTACTACACGTATCTTCTCTTCGTTTGCTTCTAATATATTTTAGCAATCCTGAAAGTTAATTTTAAAGTAAAGTCATCATGTTATAAAATGTTTTGGGGTTGTTAGTTAACTTGATTGGACTTTGAAGAGTGTTTGTAAATTTTGATAAGCATACTTCTAAAACTTTTTTACATTTTTGTTACTTGATATTCCACGTTTTGTAAATTGACAATTTGTTACGCATAACAGAATATGTTTACAACAACAAATACGATAACCCGAGCCTTTTCGTAAGGTAGACCTACGTTCTTCAGGAGTATTGTGAAATGGGTAAGAAGTGTACGGCAGGAAAGTTAATAGAATAATCTTCTGTGACGTCACGGGTAACCATGGCATCCCATTCCTGTTATATTTTTATTGTTGTGTCTAGTAGTACTTGTAGGGTGATGTTACAAAACTATGGAAATGAATGTTTTATTTTTATTGTCGTGTCAGATAGTACTCGTTGGTTAATATGTTCCTGATGGCACATTTCGTGTCACCCTGATAGCGGACAAAGGTTCTCACAATGTACAAACGTCTCATGAGACTCCATACACAAAGCAATGATTGACCATTCATCTCATATAGAAATGTATACTGCCATCTGTTGGTTATAAATAATATATTATCTCATAGAGCAGAAAACCACTATTTCTGTAAAGAGCAAACTAAATTTAAATGTTCCAAGCACGAGGAGCATTTAAAAAAACAGACAAATTACAAAGTTGGGTATTGGTCAACAGTGTATACGAGTATCGGTTCGTCACACATATAGTTATTATTATATCTATCCTTACTCGTAGCACATACAGTTTTTATATTTACTTGGAAAGTATTATTTACAGCTCATTGGCGAATTTTCGCTCTGAGTGTGAATTTTATTTTCACATGTTTTTTCCAATGATCTCCCAGTTTACTCCGTAATATACTCGGTGCCAATGTCCAAAGTAATATATTCAAGTTCTTCAGTTCGACATTCAATATTTTCAAATATTTAATAATTGCTTTGCTTTTCCTGTTGTTCGCATAAAGAAGAAATAATTTTTGAAATGAAACGAATTTTTTTATAATAAACTTTAATTTTATTTTTCCTCTCTGATTTTCACAATAGAATTACGTTATACCTTCTTCACAGAATAATCTCCATGTGATACTACAGCAGTGTTAAATTAATAATGTGCTAAAGACGGCTCTGCATTGCAATGTAATTATGAGCAAGAGAGGAACAAAAAGTCCCCATCTGAAAATTACTTTGCATAATATCCATGGTGAGCTATAGTAATATATTCAATGAATCATTATATACTTAAAGTGAACCTTTTTTTTTTATTAAGATCTAATCTAGTCTGAAGTTATCATCATTTTCTATTTATTTCTTTTAATCTTTTTGAAACAGCACCTCCTAGAAGTTTCGAATTCAATTTTACCAAGACAAATCAGGAATCGGCGAACTTTACTTGTGGAGTGGAAGAAATGTTCCCACTTCCCCAGGTGTCTCTACTTTTACATAACCCAAATTTGAAAGACGCTCAATCAATTCCAGTACACAGTAACACTATCTTCAGTAAAGGTACCTATAGTGTTGTAATTTACAAAGAGTTGATGGACAAAGAATTGCCCAGTGGCGGTCCCTCGGAGATAGAATGTGTAGTATTTATTCCAGATACGGAATTTCGAAGGAAAAAAGTATTACATTATTATCCAGGTAAGAAGATTGCAAATTTTATAATAAAGAAAATAAGTTATTGTTATGTTAAAGTTTATCTTACATTTATAGAATAGTTAAATCATATGAAGTTAAAATATTTATACCACACACCGTATGTAAAACTTTATTTCAAACATATTTGGTTCTGGATTGCCAATTTTACTAGGATGGTGAGTACTTTCAATGACGCGTTATAAATAATAACACATTGGCTAATTTATAAAAAAATCAATATTAGTAACTTATATATAATGTCTTAACTAACTCAAAATATAAAGAAAACTTAGTTTCTGGAAAGACTTGCAAATAAAAATGCAGGGTAAACAAAGTAAAAAAAAAGGCCTAACTTTGGTTAATCCTATTTGTTCTCGATAGTATGAGAACAGTTTCTAAATTATTTATATACTTAATAAGTTATACTTCAAAGATTCAAGTATCTAAGTTTTTTTACTAGACTCTGCTGATGTTTTACAATACTTTATGGAAATCATATAATCTTCAATACTGTTTAATGACAGTAACTCAAATCAAAGATTATCAAAAGTTTCTGGTTTCTTATTGTTCCATAAGGTCATTTTGAGAATAAAAATAAAGTTTACAGAAAATTAGCATAGCCCATTATGCTACTGTAAATTTTATTGGTACGGGCAAGTATTATTGAATATTTTAAGTATACGACTGACAACATTCCCAGATAATCTCTTTCCATTTACGTTTTGCAGTGTCTATATATTCATAGAAATATTTCATACATCTTCGTATATTGTACTTCTTTTTTTTTACGAACAAAACTCATTTAAAGGAATTAGTGTTGACTGAAATCATTATATTTATATATAATTCTTAATTATTTTAAGAATTATACTGTACTTTAGAATTGCATCATTGTTAAGTCGTGTTTAAACTAATGCACAAGGCGATAGCATCATTAATAAATTGTGTTTCGTGCACAGGATGGTAGTATCATTATCACATTGTGTTTAAATCAGTGCACAGAGCAATAATATCATTAATAAGTTGTGTTTAAATTAGTGCATAGAGTGATGGTATCATTAATAAATTGTGTTTAAATCAGTGCACAGAGCAATAATATCATTAATAAGTTGTGTTTAAATTAGTGCATAGAGTGATGGTATCATTAATAAATTGTGTTTAAATTAGTGCACAGAATGGTGGTATCATTATTAAATTCTGTTTAAATGAGTGCACAGAGTAATGGTATCATTATTAAATTATGTTTAAATGAGTGCACAGAGTAATGGTATCATTATTAAATTGTGTTTAAATCAGTGCACAGGATGATGGTATCATTACTAAATTCTGTTTAAATCAGTGCACAGAGTGATGGTGTCATTATTAAATTCTGTTTAAATGAGTGCACAGAGTAATGGTATCATTATTAAACTGGGTTTAAATCAGTGCACAGAGTAATGGTATCATTATTAAATTCTGTTTAAATGAGTGCACAGAGTAATGGTATCATTATTAAACTGGGTTTAAGTCAGTGCACAGGATGGTGGTATCATCAAATAATTCCATTATCTATTTTCTTAGAACATCTGACGGGTTGTGGTGTCCATACGTTCCGTTGGCGGATTATATCGATAATTATCGTTACCCTTCTAGTTGTGTTGACTCTACCTACCTTAATGTTTATAAGGTAATTCATATTTTATTTTGACTAAACGCTCAGGAAATATACCCTGATAGTTATTTAACACATAGCGAGGTTAATTACTTGTATAAAATGTTGGATACGTTGTATTAACTCTATTTTCAATACACAAATCAGCGAACCACGTGACAACCAAAGCCAATATAAAGTTGCATTGGAACAGAAAGTATCAGAAGTACATACTGACATTGTTTGCATGCCAGAAATTTATTGCTTTTTTGGAAGTGCATGTAACAGTTATTTCCGACGCAAAATAATCATACACTCAGATTATAAAGATGGGCTCAGATTGAAGATTTAGAATTTCTAAGACAGGGATGTTCCTTATACTGAATGCTATTGGAAAACAAAGAAATATAGATCAACCTGAGGCAGCAAGATTGTCCAAAAAAAAAGAGACCTGCAACAAACCGTACCTCAGCTGTAGAAAGCCAAGCGCATCGTTTTGTAAGAGCTGAGAACACATAAGCACAAATGTTAGTGGCAAAAACCGTCCTCGTGTTTCATGCAACACTAATCAAAATAATCAGAAAGAGGCACAAATAATGTGCACACAAGTTTCTTCCACGATATATCACTTCAACTGTCACATATCTAAAGCAATTGTAGAAGTAAACGAGTATTTATGCTATTCCATGCAAAGATGTGCTGGTCAAGTCGCAAGACACAGCACCAATGGATTCTGTATATAATCAGACTGTTGAAACGGGCCCGGAGAAACAGTCTTCCCTGTGCACTAGAAGGCACATGGAAAGCGTGCAGGGAGTGATGATTTGCTTTGGTTTGACAGCTTTGCGACGGGATTTTTTAAGTGAAAACTACGCCGCAGTACTATTATCAAGAGACACGGCTGTCATGTTCAGCATGAACGACGTGGGGACATGAACTGTAACGACGCAGTGAGGCTCCAAAACAATCTTAATATAACGTACTCAATCTCTGTAAAATTGGATTTTAAAACTATAGGTGGATTGAGGTGGAAGGAATTATTATTGATATTCTATTTTTTTTTCATTATACTTTGTTTTGAATTATAAAAGTGATCCATAATCGAGCAATTCTATATTGACTTATTAAGAATTTTTCGATTTTGTAGCTCTAACGTTTTAATGACATCATCATATTTATCTGATATTTTTATAACTGTTGAACGTTTTTCTTATTTCATATACGTTTGGTATCATAAATTGATACAGTAATCACAAGGTTTTGCTGTAAATATTCTAATATAATTAAAATATGTGATGGTCTTAAAATAATAGTATTTGGTTTAAAATAAGAAATTGTGGTTGTTTTGACAACAATATGATTATCAATTATCAACTTTTAAAATAGATCACAGATATTGTACATCCTTCAAAATTATTGAGCAATTTTAAATCTCCTTCAAAAACATTAAAACTTGTTTGCTTTAAAATGACAATACTGACTTTATTTAGTTAACAATAAGAATATTGATTGAAAAGATTTTTCTCTTTTTTCCTTCATAGTTAAGAACCTGCGAGATGCATTATTCGAATTGAAGAACATGAAAAAAAGAAACTTCTTGATGTTGTTGTGAACAAGTTGTAAATATATCTATATATATATACCAATTTAACTAAAATCATTTTATGCCGTTTAAAAGCTTCAAATGATTGTTTTGGCAGATTTCCTATCATTAATTTGAAGTAAACGTGATGATAAAAAGAGCCTGAAGCTGCTATTCTCTTTTGAACGCATTGTTTTATTAGGACTATTATTGTAAAGATGTAAATTTGAATAAATAACGTGGCTTTAAACACGAGTTAAAACTTTTCTATGTTTACAGCAAATACTTAACATGGAAAAAATGTGAGTTATTCAATACTGTCCAAAATATAGTTATATATTGGATATTCAAAAGGACAAAATGGCGCTGTACTTCGGCTTCATTGGCACAAGTAGATGAGAATAGTGCCACATTCCTTCTGTTAGTCCATTGCGGGTTAATCACTCAGTTAACAGCTGATATCCATCATACTACTGGGTAAACTGTATCAATTATGGTAAAGTGTCTTGCTCAAAAACACAACGGCACATGGAGATCAAACCTCGAATTTGCAATCAACCGACTGAGTTCCAAGTGCAAAGCTGCTCCCATATTGGGTATTACTTTATTTATAAATAACCTCAGTGATACAAAATAAACACTGTAAGCATCAGAATACTTTTAGTAATAAAAAATACATGCTTTGGAGTTCCTAACTTGTGAAATTATTGAAATTGTTAAATTTATTGGTTCATAGAATTAGCACTGAATTGAATTTTCTGAAAAGGCACTCTATCCGCTTAGAACAGACGTCATTCAGTCAATGATGATGCTTGCTTGAAATAATTATTATCTTTAGATGTTAAAACGAGCAATCTACAAAAGATCTCAATCAATTCGTTCTTTTACGACACCAGGTTTCTGTTTTATGCATGAGGGCTCTGGGTGATACCAGAGTAGCTTTCGAGTTTTTAGTAAATGCAGGTAATCAACAAAAAAGACTTGTTGAAATTCCTTATTCGGTAGTTCGGAATCACCTCTAAGAGACTAAAGGAGTTTCATAAGTTTAAGGTATAACATCTAATCGCACTCTAAAGTACCATAATAAAAGCAAGAAGGTTAAGAGCTATAACATGTTTTTGTTCAATATATATGTTTTTAGTTATTCTTTGACTTTCTTTTGCAGGAAAAGTTTCTAACACAGAAGATAAACATAGATTTTATAGAAAAAATAAAAAACTTAACAGAAGACTGATTTGTATTGATTATTTTTTATTACCTAGCCACAAATTCCTGCTTTATGTTATAGCATTTTTACTTCTAGCTAATGGGTTCCTTCTCAAATCATTGCTACGACTGCTAATAAAACAAACCTTGTAACTCTATGAAAAGCTAAAAATGCCACAGTAATATTTAGGATTTTTTTCTGCCCTTCATTTACCGTGACGTTAACTTATGAAAAGCTAAAAATGCCTCAGTAATATTTAGGATTTTTTTTTCTGCCCTTCATTTACCGTGACGTTAACTTATTAATTCTACATGAAGTAAAATCACAACATTGAATCTATAAACTTTGACATGCAACTGCAACTGTCTTCAGAAAATATTGTTATATTTACCAAATGTTTCGAAACAAAAATATTTTGCACATTAATTAAGAATCATTGAAACACAAGCGTACAACACAATTAGAACTGTTTGATTGGACTTGTATATCAAACCCATACTGTCGTGATTTAAAGGTATAGTTAATGATAGAAGCGTGTAAGAAAGATCAATAAAAAAAGAGGCTTAATTTAAATTTTAACTATAGTTACTGAAGTCGTTAATGGTCATTAGCGTTTTTTGAATAGATAATTCTAAATTAAACTAATCCTAATTGTTGCTGATTTATTGTAGAATCCGAAGACGCCAGTGTGTTAGCTACAGATGTTTCAAACTATAGAATAGTCATGAGACAAGTACATACATTTAACTGTGGTATGCTATGAAACAAATAAATCTATATGTTCGTAATATGGAGTCATTATACAAACAAATCTATTTGTTTGTTGTGTTAAGTCATGATGCAAAAGGACCTGTTTGTTCATGAAGTTAAATTCTGATACAAATATATTTTTTGTTTTGATATTAAGTCAAGATAAAAACAGATCTGCTTATTAGTTCATTTTTCGTATGAAGTGTGATTATGCAGATGAATTTTCAACTAAATGCACCCATCACACAACCAGATTTGTTTGTTTGTGGTATGAAGTCGTGACACAAACCAATATGTTCATCTGTGGTTTAATTTCTTTAGTCACAAAATTTATATTTCGACAATTTGAGCTTGAGTTTCTATTTAGAGATATGATTCAGGTTATGGTAAGCAATAATTATTTGAATTGAAATATCAATGCCGTTAATTATTCTTACTTTTCAATATTATTAATATTTTTTACATATGCTATGTTGTCAAACAACGTTTCCCTTTGAATCGAAAAACTTATCTTCCTATTCAATTATTTCCAGGAATTTATATAATATTTATTTTTGTTTTTCTAATAATGCCCATAAAACGTGTTACTCCTGGACTGAAAAAAAAACGAATGGTTATTTGATTAAGCTCTAGTAAACCCACAGAAGAAAGCTTATGACGAATTACCTAGTCGTTTAACATTCCTCAGGGACAGTTTTACAACACCGAGTTTTAAAAATATAAGTGCTAAGTGCTCAAGTTTTCTGTACTTTATAAATTTCGTTTTACAAACATTACAACATCTTAACACTTTTCAATCCAGTTTACTACGTTTAAAAAGTTTTGCCGTTAAACGTGCAGTCTGGGAATCGTTTTCTGTTTGATATTTATTTGTAACTTCTTAAACAACACTTGGGAAAATATTATTGTTATATAAGAATTTCACATGTATGTTTTTTTTCTTTCTTAGTACAAACGTTTACTGAGCAGGAATCAAGGTATGATTTTAAATACATGTCAGAGATATCCCATTGTTGGGCCTTGTAAATAATACAAACAAACAACACATGTATAGAGAATTTTTAATGTCACGTATAGTTTTTTCAAACATTTGCTTTGTCGTTTTCCGCGTTCTTTTTATCACCTCTCTCTTGTTTAATTTGAAGTTGTATTATTCAGTACCGAAGGTAATCTCTAAAGTCCTAATATTTGTAACCTGAATGGCACCCTATGTGACTAATAGGCTAAAAGGCCAGTGCAGGGACACATAAAATTTAGGCATAGACATCCCTGATTTAGAACAACTGTACAGATGCAGAAGAACCAATCGTCAACATCCATCACCTACGACTTTCTCCTTAACCGAATGTTGGGTTTAACTGTCAAAGTTATAATCACCACAGGGGTGAGAGTACATGTTCTTCGGCATATCTCGTCTCAAACCTTGGACCTTCTGATGCGCAATCGAGCAAGCTAACAACTAGCCACGTCCGTACCCTTAATCTTTGACAAAAAAAATCTTTATCTCAAATTTGCACAATGGACAATTTATGTTGTTCGTACGCAGACATCGAACTCCAAGTTTTAGCGTTGTAATCTGTCAAGCCTACAACAAAATCACCGCCGCATTGAGTGAAGATTTGTACAAATGTTATGTACCTAGGAAGCCATATCTGTGAAATGATCATATCTTGTCTACCAGTATCCTATCAGCTGAAAGACGAGTAAAAGCACTAACCACACTAAACTAACACCTGGTCTACAAGTACTGTATCAGCTGAAAGAAAGGCGAAAGCATATAATCACACCTGGTCTGCCAGTACTATATCAACTGAAAGAAAGGCGAAAGCACTGACCACACCTGGTCTACAAGTTTTGTATCAGCTGAAAGACGGGCGAAAGCTTATAACCACATCTTGTCTGCAAGTATTGTAGACCAAGTGTGGTTAGTGCTTTCGCCCGTCCTTCAGCTGATAGAATACTGGTACACCAGGTGTGGTTAGTGCTTTCGCCCGTCTTTCAGCTGATACCAGTAAACTATCAACTGAAAGACGGGCGAAAGTACAAATCCAAATGAATCAACGGTGGCATAACTACTTATATAGTTTACTGAAGTGTAACATAAACACTTAACATAAATATAAAAACACTTATAATCATCCTCTCGTCGGTCTGCAAAAATTACAAACTAGAAAATCTCTGTGTAATGAGATACACCGTTTATCAACGATTTGATATCACAACATACAAGTCAACCCAGCTCAAGTAAACGGAATGTTTAACAAAACTTTTGCATTAACGCTTACAAAAAGTATCATTTTAAATTCTAAGAAAAATCATTCACTTGAATTGGTAAGAAGAGACAGTTTTTTTGCTTTGTGAATTTCTATTTTGTGTTAGTTTTAAATCTTTAAGTTAAAAGGATAGACTCTTCTAGAAATGATTGTAGTAAGATTCGTGAATTGATTTATAAAATAAAGTGGTCTTGGTTTGTTTGGAATTTCGCGCCAAGTTACACGAGGGCTGTTTGCGCTAGCCGTCCCTAATTTACCAGTGAAAGACTAGAGGGAAGGCAACTAGTCATCACCACCAACTCTTAGGATACTTTTTTACCAACGAATAGTAGGATTGACCGTTACTTATAACACCCCCACGGCTGAAAAGGCGAGCATATTTTGTAGGATGGGGATTAGGAAAGCCACAGCTCATATCTACATTAGTATGTGCAAATAATAATTATGAAGTGTGATGAATCCTTAAGAGAAGCCGTAAATTGAAGAAGTATAAATAAATAAACGTCTCTTTTGATATAAGTTCAACTGTACAGAGAAATCATATAAAGTCTCATTTACGTGCAGCACTGGTTAGTGTTAAAGAAAGGTGTTAAAGAAAGGATGTGAGTAAACTACAGCTTATTCTATTAATAAGTCAATATCTATCTTGTCCTAGAGGATGTTATACGCTAACAAGATAAAGCTAGTCTCCACCATAATTGTCTTGTATTGAATATAGTTAGAATCGTTGTCATGGCTACAAGCCTCTTCGACTACCTAAGCCTAGTTACTATTTGTTTTATCATTTATCAGATATATCAAGTATTAATTATTTCATATCCTACGTTTGGGCTGCTAATCTGCTGCCGTCTTCAGGGCAGTTCTGAAAGTACGATGGATGGTGGCAAGAGCCAGGATTCAATCCTGCTTTTTCTATTTCCATTGGTCATGGCTCAGGTTAGCAACCATAATGTAGGATATAAACCAATTAGCAATTTATACC